GCTTTCCACTTGCATTTTATATGTCAATCCAGTCTATTTATGTTTACACTTACGATTACTGTGTTGATTTCGCCATCTTGTTTTCTTCTGATTTTCCTTCTCTATTTTCTTTTTTTACCCTGTTCCTCCTCAGGTTTTTTTTTCTTTTTTCTTTTCTTTCTTTTTCTTTGCTTCTTACTACTGAATAGTCTGTTTCTGGCTGCTTGCATGATTCTCTGTCTGATCTGGGAGATCTGGCATTTGGCTGTAGGATTCTTGGGAGTTTTTATTATGGGAACTCTTTCTACTTTGCTGTCTTATTGCAAGATATCTGGTCAGTTTTTCTTTATGATTTCGTAAAATATAACATCTAGGCTCTATTTTTGATCATAGCTTTCAGGTAGTCCAATTATTCTTAAATTATCTCGCCTCCATCTACTTTCCAGGTCACTGTCCTGATGAGATATTTCACATTTTCTTCCATTCTGTCTTCAGTCTTTTGACTTTGTTTTATTATTTCTTGATATCTCATGGAGTTGTTTGCTTCCGCTTGGTCAATTTTAATTTTTAATCAGTTCTTTTCTTCTCTTGGGTTTTGTCCCTCTTTTACCACTTGGCCAATTCTGATTTTTAATGAATTATTTTCTTCATTTTATTTTTATGTTTCTTTTACCAAGCTGTTAATTCTGTTTTCATAATTTTCTTGTATTGCTCTCATTTCTTTCCCCAGTTTTTTCTCTGCTACTGATATGTGATAAAAAAATTTTTTTTACTCATTTGAAGACATTTTCTTTAGCTTTTTTGGGGTAGCAATTCTTGTTGGGCTTCTCTCTAAATGGCATGTTTCTTTGATATTTGGTTGTAGATGTTTTCTTGTTTTCTTCTAATAAATTCAACATGTGACTTCCAAAGCTGCCCTCTTTTCTTTTTGAACTTCCTTCTGTTCTCTTCTGTGCATCTTTTTCTTTCTTTCTGACAACACTATCTCTAGTTCCCTGCCTCTTAAATCCTACCCTCTCCTTGCACCTCCATTAAAGAAAGAAAAACACAATGCATTTATAGCCAGTAAGCATAGTCATGTAAAATAAATTCACAAATTTGTTGCTACTTTTCTGTCAGAAGATGGGGTAGCATGTTTCATCATCAGTTTTCTAGAGTCATGACTGATCACTAAATGGTATTGTCATTTGTAAATTGTTTTCTTAGTTCTACTATTTTCCTCTTTCATTGCTTTGTATAAGTCTTCCTATTTTCTTTGAAACTACTCTTTTCATAATTTCTTTTGGCATAATAATATTCTTTTTGATGAAATAATCAGATGTTCTCAGTTGATGGGTATCCCTTTACAGTAACAGAAAGAATTGTTGGAAGTATTTTTGTCCTTATGAGTTCTTTTCCACTTTTTGTTTTTGATCTCTTTGGGAGTATAGACGTAGTATTGCTTTGGCTAGGTCAAAGAATACACACTGTTGGTAGTTTTCTGCCATCATTCTGAATTGCTTCCTATAGTGGCTCTGCTAATTGACAGCTCTACCAGCATAAGTGCCTTATGCACTTATCAATAAAAGAGAAAAAAATAACCGCTTCAATTAATTGGACATGAAATTCAGAAGGTCAATAGTCAGCAAACATTCATGAAGCTCTATTATATGCCATGGCATGTAACATAATAACATAATACATAATAATAATAAGGCATCAAGTTCAACTGCTGCACTGATGGTAAGTTCTTCAACTTGAAAGGGCTACAAGCCAAGACCAAAGTGGAGGGAGTGTTGGTGCGTGATTTTCTGTTTGCAGATGATTGTGCTTTCAGTGCAGCCTCTGAAGATGAGATGCAACAAAGTATGGATCGATTCTCTGCTGCTTGTGTTAATTTTGGTCTAACAATTAACACCAAAAACACAGGTGTTCCGTCAGCCAGCATCACACCATGCATATATGGAAACTTAATTACAGCAAATGGAGAAGTTTTGAGTGCTGTGGGTAAATTCACTTACCTTGGCAGTATGCTTTCTAGGGATGTACATGTTCATAAAGAGATTGATGCACACGTTGCCAGAGTTAGCTCAGTGTTTGGAGGTTCTAAAGGAAAGTGTGGCAGAGAAGAGATATTCGACTGCCAAACTGAAGGTCTGCTGAGCTGTTGTGCTGACCTCGTCGTATGCCCATGAAACCTCTGCAGTGTACTAATGCCATGCCAGGAAACAGATTTGCTTCCATTTGAATTGCCTTAGGAAGATTCTGAAGATCACTTGGCAGGATGAGATATGAGACACTGAGGTCCTTTCTCGAACTAAACTGCTAAGCCTTCAGACTTTACTGCAGAGAGCGCAACTCTGATGGGCTGGCCACGTTGTTTGTATGCCAAACATATGCTTGCCAAAAAGACTTTTATGAAGAACTCACACAGGGCAGCTGCTCACCTTGTTGTCAGAAGAAGCAATACAAGGACCCTCTCAAGGTCTGTCTCTTAAGAACTTTGGAATTGATTGTGTGACATGAGAGACACTGGCACTGCCCAGCATGGCATAGCCTCATCAGAGAAGATTCTGTGCTCCATGAGCAAAGCAGAATTGAAGAGTAGCTCAAAAGAAATGTGAGATGTGGAAATTTAGAGAATCCACCCCAGATGTTCACATGGACTATTTTTTTGTCAGTTACATATATTTAAGGATCTTTTTCATTTTTAAAATTATATATTTGTAGTTTTTAAATTTTATATGATACATATTTTTATGTATACCCAACTAGTTGGGTCTTCTTATTTTACACTGTCAGTTAATGTATGTCTTCTAGTGATTCTCAGATTTCCTCCTTTTTGTCATTTTTAACCACATAAATGACACTGTTATTCATCTGCCATTTTTTTCCCTAGTTACTCTTTATTGGTGAGAATTCAGTTTGTTTCTTTGTTGCCCTGAAAAGTGCTCTTATGAATGTTTTTGTGTAAAAATTCAGTTGTGGCCTTGGTCTAGTTATGTAGAAAAGGAGTGGCAACATGATACAGTGAGAATAGCCCTGGATTTGAAGCCAGGAGGACTTGGACTGAAAGTGTAGAGCCACCATTTACTCCTGTTTTGACCTTAATCAAGTCACTTTCCCGCTCTGGGCCTCACTTCCCTAATTTGTAAAATGAGAAAACTGGACTCTAACGTATCTTCCAGCTCTAAATATATGAATTGGAAAATAATAGTCCTTTAACACCCTTTTTGGCAGTGAAAAATTGTTCATGTGCTGTTATAGACAGGAGATTGTAGTTCCCCATGCTTGTCCTTGCTCTCAGAGTTCTAGGAGTGTCGCCATAATCATGTTCAGTTCCGAGCCGCACGTTTCAAGAAGCATAGCAATTGAATGAAAAGAAGAAGGTAACTTCCTTAGTTATGAAGAGATCAGGCTAATTGGTCAAAGGAGGTGGGCCTGTTTAGCCTGAAAGAGAAGACTTAGGACCACGTGACAGCTATCTTCAACTATTTCATTTTCATTATTTATTTTAGCAAGTAGAAATAAATTAGCCATATTACTGCTTCAGCTCAAAGGACAGAAGTAGGAGCTATGGGTGTACAGTGCAAAAAAAAAAAAAAGAAGCAGGAAAACTTGATGCATTTAAAATTGATGTCACTGGAACTGTTTATAACATTAAGCATTTATTAAGTGCCTGCAAAATGCCAGGCACTGTGCTAAGTGCTAAAGATAGAAAACATATCAATAATAGCTCCTGCCCTTAAGGAGCTTACAAACTAATCAGAGAAGAATACTTTAATTTATTTTTTTAGAAGAATACTTAAAAAAATTTTATTCATCTAATTTTTAATTTCTAGAATAAAACAAGCATTTCCAATACATAGTATGATTAAAAAAAATGATTGCATATGAAACCACGAATCTGTTATCTATAACTTGCTATTCCTTTTAAATATATAATAAAATTAGCATGTAAATTTCTTCTCCATTCTCTCCCCAACCCTAGAGGTGGCTACCATTAGATACAAATGTCTCTCTGTCTGACAGTCTGTGTGTGTGTGTGTGTGTGTGTGTGTGTGTGTGTGTAAAATCATTTTATACATACTTCTATTTATCAGTTCTTTCTGGGAGAGGAATTTTTAAGTGCCTGCTGCATACCAGACACTGTACTGGGATACAAATAAATAAGTGAAACAATCCCTTGTGGCAAGTGAAAGATGAAATGACTGAGGAAATTAAGATTCAGTCTTTTGGGCATATCAGTTTTTTGAGCAGTGCGTGGCAATTGCACAACAAACTGGGACCAGGTCCCTTCCTCAACTTAGGGATGGACCCTGAACATAGGGAGAATTGTACTTTTATACATGAAAAACAAGCAAACAAGACCAATTAGTTCCAGTCAAATAATACAATATTAGGTAGTCTGATTTCTAATTGGAGGAAAGATTGGGGACTTTCCATGTTGGGAAGGGGATGGGGGAATTTAACAGATTCAGTTCACTGGATTCAGAATACAGAGTGTCCCATTCCCCCCCGCCCCAAGTGTCTGTATACAATCAAAGGAACATGGAAACAATAACTAATTGTTCAGTATTGTTCCAGTTTTCAGATAAGGCAAATGGGTTACTTGAGCTGTAGAATTGTGAGAAAAGCTACATCAGTCTCTTTGGATCTGACTGGGTTTTTGGTCAGCATACCCTAGGTCCTTAGTTAAGGGTCTCTAAATAGCAAGTAGAGGTGGTCTAGTTTCCCAGCCACCCAGGACTAGATTCGAACAACACAGTAAGATTTTCTCCCAATTCCCACAATTGAATAAATTTTTCTCACAAGGCAGAAGTTGGACTGTATCAGTAACTGAACCAAAAGAGAACTGAGCTGCCTCCAGAATTGAATCACAAAATAGGATCAGTGTGGTTGACTCAATTGCCTCAATTCCCTGTACCATTTGCCATCCTCTTGCCCTCAATTTCCTCACCCTGCTGGCAAGCAGTTTACATTTGAATTTCGTAACAGTTAGAGATATAGGTGATTAAGCACAAGTGTTTCTGGTATTTCAGGAATCAGTGACTTTCAAGGATGTGGCTGTGGAATTCTCTCGGGAGGAGTGGGTACAACTGAACCCATCTCAGAAAAAGTTGTACAAAGATGTGATGCTGGAGAACTATAGGAACTTGGTCTTTTTGGGTAAGAACAGCTACCCCTTTGAAGTCTTAATATATACTATGACAACTTTCAAGATTTTAACAGTTGTTTTTGGTTTAGAAAAGGAAACTATTCATAATCCTTTTGTAGCCAGGGGACAGATTACTGGTGCTACCTGTTTCTAGGAAAAAGGTCTATGCCTGGAAATTGATGTCTTGATTTGTTATCCTTGAGAATGTATCTTCCCCTCTCTGTTACTTCAAATCCAAGATGTTTTTTTTAGTCTTAATATAGGTTTCATCATCATACACAGTGTTCCCATTGTTTAAACAGGGAGTGAGTCAATTGAACTAGTTTTTTCCTAAGTCCTACTCAGTAATCCATTGTACCAAGGATATTCTATATCCTTCATTGGTGCTTTGTACTGTCCTTGAGGTCTTCCTGGCATACCTACTTTTTTCCCAAAAAGGGTTTGAATTCGTTTTGGGTTCTTTTGTTAAATTTTATGGGTGTTCTTTTAAAAAATGTAATTTACCAACACACACACACACACACATGCGTGTGCACACACACACACTCACACTCACAAGGAAAAAAAAAACTACTTCTGGGGCAGCTAGATGGTGCAGTGGATAGAGCACCAGCCCTGAAGTCAGGAGGACCTGAGTTCAAATCCAGCCTCAGACCAAACACTTGACACTTACTAGCTGTGTGACCCTGGGCAAATCAGTTAACCCCAATTGCCTAAAAATAAATTTAAAAAACTGCTACTCCCTTCAACCAACCCATTGAGACCCCCATGGTTGAAAAAAAAAATCTCAGACAAAATCAGCTAATATAGTTATTGGTGTTATAAGATGGAAGGAGTATTTCATCTATCTGTTTTATGATGGAACTCTGAGATGACTCCCTAGCACTTTTTCATTTTCATTGAATAGGATTTGCAGTTTCCAGACCAGATGTGATCTACCAATTGGAAAAAAAGGAAACATCTTGGATGCCAGAGCCAGATATTCCAAGAAGCAGCTGTCTAGGTGAGTACATAAAACCAAGTACTGATCTGTTGGTCATTTTAGGTAAAAGCTCCTATAGGATGTTGAAGAAAGTGGTTTATCAAAACTTCTTAGGTCTGTTGAGAAGAGCTGTGGCTTCAAAATTTCATTTTTTTCCTCAAGAAGATACTTTTTTTATGTGTTACTGAATTGTACCTCCACTCTCAAAGAGAGTTGTTGCCTCAGTACAGGGTAGTTACTTCTCTTCTGTTCATTGAAGATTTTCTTAAGCAGGCAGTCTTCTGCCTCACTTGTATGAATTCATTTTCCCTATTAAAAGAAGCACATTACTTAAGGTATTTAAGGTCTTCTTGCTTGTTAAGTTCTCTTCTAATATTTTCTTCTGTTTTGTTTTTATGATTTTATTGCTTTGCTGCTACTTTTTAAAGTATTTAATCCTAATTCCCCTTTCTTCAGTCTATCATGTTATGTGTCATCCAGTTTTTTTTATTTTTTGAAATTATATTTATAAAGGCACATTAATATGTTTCTATGACAGGATTTATTTAGCCATAACCCCATCATTGGACCTATAGATTTTCATTATTTTGCTCTTTTATAAAAAGTTGTGAAAATTTTGTTGACAGTGTTTTGTTTGCTTTCAGTAACATATTGAGAATGCTGATTTAGTACTAGGACCATTTGATCAAGGGATATGAAGAGTTTTGTAGCTCTAGCTGAAATTTCTATCTTACTTTTCAGGAAAATGGCAGCAGCAGCAACTTTAAAAAGTAGCTATTTCAACATAATTGCCAAAATTTATAATTTTAAAGTATTTTGCTAATCTGAATTCTATTTATTGCTACCTCCAAATTGTTTTCATTTTTACTTGATTACCAGATTTTGAGTAATGTTTCAGGTAATTGTTAATAATTTCTCTTGACAAAAGCAACTATGTCTTACTATTATAAATTTCAATCAGTTCCTTACAGAGTAGGCATGTTGGATTTCTAGAGGAAATTTATGGCAACAATTGTCACATTTTTACCCTTAGTTCTTCTTTATTCTGTTTACTTCATGTATCTATTTCTCCACCTCACTCTAAACTCAATTCTCTATTTTCTTTCAGTTCAGTCTTTTCCCTTCCTATTTTCATCTCAGAGGATAAGGCTACATTTGCAAATTCTCAAAGTCATCTGTTTTTTTCTTAGTGGTTTTATTCTATTCAAATGTCGGGCACTTGCAAGTAGAGTTAAGGGTTCATTCATCCCTCTTGGTAATTTCATCCTGTGTCAATTCAATTACATTTGTTACCTTTGAGTCATCATACTTTCACATAAGTTAAATTGATCCTTAGTGAAGGACTAGTGAGAGTAGCATTCTCAGGTGGGAAGGCAAGAGAACAGCTCTAAAATCTTGAGCAACTAAGAACGTTGGGAAAGGAGGAAAAAGGCAGGGTTAATGGGCTCTTTACTCTTCCTTTCAGAGAGCAGAGAGTTTACTGGACATAAACCTCTTGAATGTAATGAATGTGGGAAGGCCTTCACTTGCAAGACAAATCTTACTCGACATCAGATAATTCATGCTGGAGAGGAACCTTATGAATGTAGTGAATGTGGAAAGGCCTTCAGGAATAAGGATCATCTTATAGTGCATCAGAGAATTCATACTGGAAAGAAACCTTATGAATGTAGGAAATGTGGAAAGGCCTTCATGAGTAGGGATCATCTTATAGGGTATCAGAGAATTCATATTGGAGAGAAACTTTATGAATGTAGGGAATGTGGAAAGGCCTTCAGGACTAACTTACAACTTCAAGTGCATCAGAGAGTTCATACTGGAAAGAAACCTTATGAATGAAGTGAATGTGGAAATGCCTTCCCGTGTAAGACTTATTTTATAGTACATTAGAAAATTCATACTGAAGAGAAACCTTACAAATGTAATGAATGTAGAAGGGCATTTAAGAATAAGGTATAACTTAAAATGCATCAGAGAGTTCATACTAGAGAAGACAAATCTTATGAATGTAATGAATGTGGTAAGACCTTCAGGAAAAAGTTAGAGCTTACTATGCATCAGAGAATTCATACTGGAGAGAAACCTTGTGAATGTAGTTAATGTGGAACGTCCTTTAGGAGTGATGAACAACTTTTAGTGTACCAGAGAGTTCACACTGAAAAGAAACCTTGCAAATGTAGTGAATGTGGGAAAGCTTTCATGTGTAAGTCAAAACTTACAATGAATCAGAGAATTCGTACTGGAGAGAAGCCTTATGAATGTAGTTAATATGGAAAGGCCTTTATGAGAAAGGTACATCATAATGTGAATCAGTAAATTAATATTGATAACATTCTTTTTGAATGTGAGGAGTGTGGGAAGGCTTTCCCATACAACTCAGAACTTATTCAACATCAAATAATTCATACTGGAAAGAAACTTTATCAATGTACTGTATGTGGGAAGGACTTTTTTTTTTTAGATTTATTTTGATCAGCAAGCACTTCCATAAGCTTTTGAGTTTTAAATTTTCCTCCCCTTCCCTTCACTGCTCCCTCTCCAAGACGGCATGCAGTCTGATATAGGCTATACATATACATTTCTATTAAACATACTTTCACATTACTGAAGTTGTAAGAATTAGAACCAAAAGGAGGAACCATCAGAAAGAGGAAACAAAACACAACAGAAGAAGAAAAATAGCGAAAAGCATTCTTTGATGTATTTAATCTCCATAGTTCTTTCTTTGGATGTGGATAGCAGTTTCCATCATGAGACCTTTGGCGATATTTTAGATCCTTGTAGCGGGAAGGGCTTCTTGAGGAAGGTGCATCTTACTAGGCATCAGAGAACTCATACTAGAGAAAAAAACCGATATGATTGGGCTTACTTAAGCACAGTAGAAGGAGGTGAGAAACAAGTATAGCATCCTCATAGCTCAAAACATGTCCAGTAACCATGGGTGTATGCTGAGGGGGGAGTCATACCTCCTTTCCTCCCTCAGTCCTTCTTCCGTGCCCTGCTAGATAGGAGAGGGAGAAGAAATTGTACAGGGTATCAGCAAGAGGAGTTAGGAACATGTATGAGTCCTTGTTCCCATGGGCAGATGGGCAAGAATGTGGCACAGATGATTTGTCATGTTGATAATGGGAGACAGTGCTAAGCTGACATAGTAAGGGAACTGGCGATAGTGGGAGAAGTGTTTGTGCAATACAGCTCCTTTGACATAGGCCTGCATTGATGCAGCACTCCCAGTGTTCATGTGGACTGTTTGTGTCTGCTCATATTGGTCTGATCAGCCTCTGTTGGGCACACCGTACTTTGACCCTGGCTTGATGTTATCTTGGTCCTCTTTGTCCCTCTTATCTTCCAGATACTGTGTGTATCCAGGTTTCGCCTGACACTTTGCTCAGTATCATTCTAGGCCATCTTTCTTGCTGTTCTTCCTGAGAGTTTTGTTTCATTGGGGTGTTTCTGTGGTTGGCAGAGTGACCAGCCTATAAGTAGCTTATTCTCCTGGTGACCCCCTCGTTATCCCCTTCCTGGAACCACACAGGCCATTGCAGATACTCTGCCCCTGCCTTAGCAGCCATGTAGCTGAAAATGCATGATTGCACTGTTTCTGTCTCTATCACATATATCCTTCCTTGAACTTAGGTGTGTATCAGAGACAGAATTGACCAGGCCAAGATTTTGTGAACTATGAAAAGTAGAAAGAACCAGAGATAATAATAAATAGAATCCTTAGCAGGGTCTCTCAGGAACTATGGTAACCTTGAAATATGGCCTACTTCACTGAGACCAGTCAAAATGAACAAAGAAGCCAAGAAAATGTTTTACAAACATAGGAGTGATTAATTCATCAGCTGTGCCACAACTAGTAGTGAATTTGGTGCAATCAGTTTGAGTCTAATCTCCCTAGACTCCAAAGTGGTAGAGAAGAGTTGCTTCCTTTTTCAGAGGATTCCCTACTTTGAGTCTTACTATGTGTTCTCAATAAGTCTTTGTTAAACATAATGGAGGTTAAGCAGGTAATTGATGTAGAAGAAATATCAATTGGTTAGCTGATATGGGAGTATCCAATGGTTACTGGTATTGAGGAGAACACGCTGGATGTGTGCTCATGATCTGTTGTAATGAGGGACTCCCAAACCCTTCAGGAATACCCCTAGAATTTTGAGGGGAATAATAGTCCAGCTCTGATAACCTGACCTGTAAATGGGGTTGAGGTTGGGAGAGTAGTTGTCATAGCTCTGCTACATGTATTTATCAGCTTGTATTAGTTTGTTCTCAATATTTAATAAAATTCATTTTTAAAAAGTTATATTTTTTCATTGTTCCTACTACATATAAAATTTTGTTGTTTTTCAAGGGAATGACTTCTAAGGAAATCTTTTGCTAAAGTCCTGCATGTCCAGAGCATTTTATGAAAAGTGAAGGGTGCTGCCTGCAACCACAGCTATAATAGTTTGTTTCATTTAGTTTTTTTTTAAATTCAGATATGACCCTTGTTTTGAAGAGGAGTGCTTGAATCCATTTCAATCAGTAGGATTTTTACAGTTCCTTTGACCTCAGTCACAACATCTACTCCAGTATATATGTGTCCTTTCTTGCCATTCTGAAATCTGAGCCCTTTAGTAAAGACAAAAGGCTTACTAATTTATGTGGTGAGATCACTGTCTTGAAGTAAAAGACTGAGGTGGTATAAAGGGACTGAACCTTCACTGTAGTTGTTGGGTGAGATGATCCCTCTTTCCGCAATTCCAGGGTCCATGTATTCACTTCAAGATGGGTTGCACATCCCTTTATCCTTATTTTGTCTTTAGGTGAAGAAGCCAAAGCATCACATAAAGGAATGGGTAAAATCAGGAGGAAATGGAGTTCAATGGAAACACATTGAATTGGAGTCACAGAAGCTGATTAAAATCCCAGTTCTGTCATTTAATACCTTTGACCTAAAGCAAATCACTTAATTTCTCTGGCCCAAAGTTCCTTCATGTTTATAATGAAGGGCTTAAAGTTACGGGGCTATAAGATTCTGCCTCAGTATAAAGCTTTGATCTTTGGAAATACTCATACCTAGAAATGAATAGATGAATGAATGAAGAAAGTCTTTGTTAAGTGCTTACTATGTTGAAACACTGTGCTAAGAGCTGAGGATGCAGCTAGTAAAGAAGAGACAGTCTCTGCTCTGAACAAGCTTGGATTCTAGGGGGAAGAGCAAGTCAAATAATTGACTACTTATGAGACCCCTGCTATGTGCCAGCCACTGTGCTAATAAGTGCTAGGGTGACTAAGAAAACCAAAAGACATTCCCTGTGCTCAAGGAGCTCACAATCTAGTAGAGGGAAATAATGTGTAAAGAGTTATGTATAAATAAGATATACAGAATGTCCCCAAAGTCTTAGTGCAGTATTGAGCTTTGATAGGAAGAATTAATGAAATCTCAGAAGGAAGCCACTAGCATTAAGGAGAACTGAAGAAGACCACTTATAAAAGGTAAAATTTTGTTGTTGATTTGTTGTCATGTCTGACTCTTCATGACCCCATATATCATAGCCCACAAGACTGTTCTCTCCTCTACTATCTGTTGAAATCTGTCCAAGTTTGTGGTCATTGTGTCCATTGTACTATCTATCCATCTCATCCTCTGCCATCCCATTTTCCTTTTGCCTTCAATCTTTCCTAACATCAGAGTCTTTTCCAATGAGTCTCATCTTCTCATGTCGTCAAAGTCTTTACGCTTCAGCTATAGTATTTGACCTTCCAGTGAATAGCCTAAATTAATTTCTTTAACTATTGACTGATTTGATCTCCTTGCTGTCTAAGAGACTCTCAAAAGTCTTGTCCAGCATCAGAATTCTAAAGCATCAATTCTGTGGCTCTCGGCTTTCCTTATGGTCCAACTCTCACAGCCATACATGCTGCTGGAACAACCAGTAGCTTGCAGTGCATCTCTGGAGCTTTTAGCACTTGGTCAGACATCAAAGACACCAAGGTCAAACACTGATCCCAGGCCGTAGCCGGTGATCCGGAGTTTTGTCCTGCCCCTGGTCTTTGATAACTGGAATAGAGTGAGGTTGATGACTGTGCAACTCTGGCTCACTTAAATTCAGTTCATGGGCAAGTGAAGATATCCACCTGTGATGTCATTGGTCCTCTTCAAAATAGAAGGAGGAATAGTAAACAATGAATTAGATTTTGGTGAGGCACAGCAGCTTGACGCTGTCAGTCTCATCTTCTCTTCCATGGTTATTGAAGTATGTTATAATCTCTATCCTAATGATTCTCAAAAATACTTATTCATCCATACCCTCTTTGCCATCCTTAGTTTCACATCTCTAACTGCCTGTAGGACATAACAAACTGGACATCCCATAGACATCTTACACTCAGAAAGTCTAAAACTGAAATCACAATCAAATCACAAATTTTTTAAAATAATTTTTTTTTTTTGGCAATTGGGATTAAGTGAATTGCCCAGGGTCACACAGCTAGTAAGTGTCAAGTGTTTGGTCTGAGGCCGGACTTGAACTCAGGTCCTCCTGACTTCAGGGCCGGTGTTCTATCCACTGTGCCACCTAGCTGCCCCCCTAAAAATAATTTTTATTGATGTCTTCTGTTTCATACATCACTACAGTGTTCTATGTGTGGTCCTTTCTTCATCTCCCATGATAGCCATCCCATAAGATAAACAGTGGTTTATTTGGTTTTTAGAAAGGAAAAATAATCAGCATAGCTGATCAGTACATTGAAAAATCTAAAAACATGTGCATTGTGTAACATCTGTGAACCTCCAACCTCCACTGAGGAGTAGGTTGGGGCTATCTTTTCATATTTCTTCATCTGAGACCCACTTG